ACTATCTAAGCAGCTTTTGCTTCATGGCAATGGAAGCAAGAGGGACACGGTTCAGCCTCTGGGCCAAGGTCAGCATAAGGCTCCCAAATCATCAAGGATCAGCAGTGACTGGTGACACTTTAACCCACAACTGGAGGCTTTACCTTCTCTGTGGCCAGATGGGGTACGGGGTTGGGGGGAGGGGTGAGGAATAGACCAAAGTGTACAGTGCTTCATCTCTCAATAGGCACTACAAACAAATAAATACCCAGACCAGGAATTGTTCGTTACATGGGTTTTGCTTCAATTCCTTCACATTTCCACATTAAACACGTTGAACAGCATTGTGTAATTATGCCTAAAAACCCCACGTGTCTCACTGCAGTCAGCAAACGGCCTGGACGCCGCGCTCCCCTTTCCCACCATGTGACGTCACTCACAACCATATTTTATTTCCACCATTAACACAGCAGTAGGAAACAGATGGCAAATCACGCTTTCACTCTAGAAACAAATAATTCCAAGAAAAAAAAGGCTTCCTTCTCGACATCTGTAGCTGACAGAACAATACCATCACAACTGTGCTATTCAACAGAGACAAGCAATTCAACACAGTAATGGAAGTTTGTATTGGCTGAAATAACTGATTCAATAAATAACCTGAATGTGATTTCTACATCAACGTGAGGGCCAGACATTTTCACTAAACAAGAAAACACTCTGTTCTGTGGAAATATTTCCCCAATCGATTCACAAATAATGATTCATTGCATTGATTTATTTCAACTACAGCAAAGCACGAGCCAAACTTGAGTTTTTCATGTGAGCAGCCAATATCTACCAGAGTAATATGTCATATTCAGCTCAGCTGTAGGACCCTACATGCAACATATGCACCACATTTTTAATATACTAAAAGGACCCATTGATCAGGCCGCGGACACTTACGGGATTGAATGGGTTTTTGTGTCGCCGGCAAGCTCAGCACCCTCAACAACGTAATTATCTTCAGTGAGACAGCTATGTCTCTAAAACCCCAGTCCAGAACTGAAACACACCCAGCTGTGAGGCACAGATTCCAAGTCACGTTTATGATTCATCCCGGCCTGTGATTCCTGTGATGGGCTGGTGACTGGGGAGATCTCGGTGCGCACAGACCATGACCACAAACACCAGACTCCAATCAGGCAGGTAAGATTATCAGTGCTGCCTGACCCTGGATCAGTTAGTGCAAACAGCAGGCGGCAACTGGTTATGTGAGTTTAAAGCTAACAGTCAGCTAATCCTGAATCCACACCCCCTCCCCTCAGTCTAACTTCATATACATATTATGGCTGTTTCCCTTTTGCTCCATAATGATTATCTTCCTGCATTTTCAGGGATGCAATCTGGTTTTATCCATCAAGCAGACCCATCACCCTCCAGCTAAATGGGTCCTGAAAAAATTCTTCACAATCAATCACAGTCGTGTCTGGTAATGGTCCACCTCAGGTTAACATAAAGGTTAATGATTTCCATTGTTACATTTAAATTTTTTCACGTACTATACTTTTTCGCCTCACTTCCCAAAGCATAGCAGCAGCTAAGAATTAAGTCAAGCACAGATTCTACATAAAGAAGTCAACATTGTGCTATGTCCATCCATCCATCTGTCCACGTGAGACAGGGGACACCCCGGGTGGGATCCCAGGCTAACAGTCGCACACTCTCAAACACACTATGGCCAAAATACAGACTCCAGTATACCTAAGCCGGCAGACATTGAGACCTGAAAGTAAAAACACCTAGGGAAATGCAGGCAAAAAGAACACGCAGTTTACATAACATCTATGTTTCTATGAAACTGGCAGTTTTTCTGCAGCACATCAGTATTCAACCAGAAGAGCAGGACATGAATGTTTCCATTGTAACGGGAACGTCAAGAACTGGCAACCAATCAGCAGTGCCTATTTTAAGCATGTGACACGGGTCGGTGAAGATAACGGATACACGAAGTGACAGAAAGCGGTGCGCCTCCTCATAGCATCCAGAGTGTTGAAGGGGACAGCCTCTGGAGAAATGGGCGGACGGCAGGCCTGGGGTCGGCAGCCGAGAGCAGCGCTGGGTTGATATCGGGGCAGCACACCACAGGGCTGGTGTAACGAGGGCTGACAGATCGCGAGGAATAACTGTTCGTGGAGGAGTGCGCTGAGCCGGGGAGCGCAGGCTGGGGGTCCCACTCTGACAGCATGTTCTATATGTAAACGGCAATCGTTACAGCCCAAGCGCTGCTCCGAATTTAAATTTAAGTGGAGTGATGACGGGGGGGGGCTGCTGAGACAATCCCACGGAACATTTATAAAAGCAAACCGGTTATATCCTGAAATCCCCCCCCCCTTTCGCATGTCAGCTGTTTGTGCCACAACCCCCCCCCAGTCCACAACCACCCACCTCCCCACCTGTACGATGTCCTGAAGCAGTGGGTGGGGCCCTGAATGGACAAAGGGAGTAGCGGCTTCTCTCTCTGAACAGCCAGCGAGACGCAAACAAACACACCTGCCTTTGCACCCCACTCTGCTGCCTTCCAGAAGTTTCTCCCAGGAACCAATGGGCTTGGCTGGGCACGGCGCTGCTGCCATCGTGCAGCCGCATCACTCACAGAATGAATATCCTCACCAATGACTAACCGTTACCGCTGCATTCTCCCGTCTTCTGTAATTACATTTTACGTTGTTAAACTCGTGAATATTAGCTAGCTACTTATTAGGGATGACTGTGCTGGTGTCCCAGCGGCACCTGAGCCGATGAAGACGCCGGCCGCTGCCTGGGAGGAAGCTGTGTGAGGCACAGGAGCACGCAGACATGAGGGTGCACGTGTGCACGTGTGCACAAGTCAGTAGCCCGGGTGAGTTTATGATAAGAACGAAAATCACCAGCGGCTTAGCTGGGCACAAACTGACAGGAGGATGCATCCAGCTCTGCTCTGTGTTGATGTGTGTATGTGTATACTGGAGAAAACTCGGCATTTAATAGGCTATTCGTTACATAAGAACATAAGAACTATACAAACGAGAGGAGGCCATTCGGCCCATCAAGCTCGCTTGGGGAGAACTTAACTAATAGCTCAGAGTTGTTAAAATCTTATCTAGCTCTGATTTAAAGGAACCCAAGGATTCAGCTTGCACTACGTTATCAGGAAGACTATTCCATACTCTGACTACACGCTGTGTAAAGAAGTGCTTCCTTAAATCCAGTTTGAAATGTTCTCCCGCTAATTTCCACCTATGGCCACGAGTTCTTGTATTTGAACTAATGCTGAAGTAACTATTCGGTTGACAGTTACTGTCAATCCAACTGCTTATAGACATGATAAATAAACAACTTAAATAAACTGTTACAAGCCAATGCTGGGATGAGGCCTGCATCTGTAGCACTGCTCAAGAGTCGGGTTTGAACCCCACCTTCACGCTGTATATGAAGTGTGCATGTCTCACGCAGTTAGGCTAACTGGCAAAATATGTGTGTGCGTGTGTCTGCGTGTGTGTGTACCTTGCAACAGACTGGCATCACATTCAGGGTGGTCCCTTAGACTGTGTCTTATCCTGCCTGCCATAAGATCCGAGTCCCTTGTGACCCTGACCAGAAAAAAATGGTTAAAAGATGAATGAATATTATACATTGGGTTTGCGTAACACCTTGGAGATTATTAATACTGGACAGCATGTTAGCTTGGTGTCCCATTCTGAAGGGTGCTGTTTGGACTAAATGCGTAACATGTAAGTAAATTCTGAACAACTGAACTATTACACTTTCCTTTTAACTGGAGGCAACGGCAAAGGCAGTGCATATTCCCACTGGTCATTCATTTAGGCTGTGTGACAGCACCACTAGGCAGCTCGCAGCAAAGTCACTGACCTAAGGGGCAAGATCGTGGCAGCGGGCCCTTATGGGATGGTCTGATATCTCACCTGTCAGATAACACCCTGTCACCGTGTGTGTGTGTGTGTGTGTGTGTGTCTTTGTGTTAGGGGAAAAGAAGGTGACAGACATTAGCTGTCACAATAAGTAGACTGCAATATGACCTCAGGACAAGAGTTTTCCCCAGAGCTCAGTGCCCCCAAGGGATGATGTTGCACCCCCTTACAAGGTAATACATCACGGTCCCCATAGAAACCCAAAAGAAGACAACAGGGCCACGGGGGACTCGAAATTACTAAAGTTTTATTATTAGATTTTATTCCACGTTTCAGCACTTCCACTGCTCAGTTTAAAGGTGTCTATCGCTACAAATAGAGTCGGCCGACTCTACCTTTGGGATCCATACAACGGCCTTCCGCTTAGACTCCATGATCGTTTCTAACACGTATTTCTGAAGCGCTTCCCAGGAAGCAAAAGGCATCGCAAAGTGTTGCGGTACCTAAATCAGATTTGTGCCGGCGGTGTAACTTTCCGCTTGATTTCCCGTTACTACGTTAAATAAAGAAGTCCCTTATAATAATTTACGGGCACTTACAGCCCCGGGCTTAGTGTCACAAAGTGTCGGGGAGGCTGCCACTCTGGAGTCCGCCTCTGAAAATGCAAGCTATTTATCCTGCAACAATTATTCAGAGGGAAAAATGAAAAGGTTCATATCGCGCTTTTGAGTGAATTTGCAATTTAAATGTAATTGTCGGAAAAGTGCTGGGGTGCGCGTGCCAGTTAGGAAGGGGTTTGGGAAAAAAGTTAAATTCGGATCGCAAGCGCGCCACGTTTCTATACATTTATGCATCTTCACCTAAAAAGTGAAGTGCTCCCGAAAAGCTTTCTATTAAATTATACTGCTATGATACATAATTTCTGTGTGGTAAATACAGATAACCGTTTTGGTCCTGCAAAGATTTAAGTTTGAAAGTTGCATCCGAATCTTGTAGGATGCCATTTGCGTTTCAGGTGAAACATAAATTACGGCATATCTCCCAGCATTACTCCATTAACGATACCCAAAGGTTTTCCCAAGAACGCATCGGAGTGGCAGGAAAACACGGACAGCAAATAAGGCTTACCGGTGGTGAAATCGCTGCTTGTAGATGAGAAACACAAAATCCAAAGTTCTTCTATATTTTCTGTTACCCTATGTTAAAGGGGAATGACGCCGGAGGCTGAATAGGCTCCCAACACTCAGAGCATCCTCACTCGAACCGCCGCTGACACCCTGTTGTAGCGCCTGTTCTCTGAGTGCGCACAGGGTATCACTGAGGGGGCGGTACCAAAAACAAAGCACGCCGAGGGGATTTCTCAACTGAACAGGCTGGAAAACTAAAGCTAGGAAATGAAGAAGGGAATGTTGATGTGATAGCTTAAACGTTATCAACATCTTTCTTAGTAGTATATATTTCTTTGGTCATTTTCAACAAAATCAAACAAAATGCGAAGTAGTTGGATTTTGGAAAAACCCGACTTCCCCTTTTGCTTCCTCGGAATGGTACGTCTCCGGTTTAGTTCCAGCAAGGACAGAGGCGAAGTAGCGTGCTGTGATCGAAAGCTAGTCGGCGTTATTGTCAGACTTGAGAACACATTACATATCGGAATCACCGTGTCGTTCAACAGGTTTGCAAATTTTTGAAAATGAAAATAAAGCTTATGTGGCTTTTGTAACCTTTTAACCAGTACCAAAACATGCAGCATTTTATAGGAAGGACCAACGTGAAAATTATCTTAAAGTGGCTCGATCTATAATATAAAAAAAAAAAACAGATGTTATTGAACAGATGTCTTGAAGCAAGACACTTTCTTTAACACTAATATTTTCTCCACTCAGCAAATGTTAACACATTAAAGCAACGTTTTATCTTTTCTCAAGCACAGATAACAATAGTTCCCTTTATTGGTTCCAGGAATAGATAGGACTGTCATTTTAAATCAAGAAGTGGGTCAGCCCAATGTAGACACAGGCTCCCGTCTCCTTACATATTGATGTCAGGCTGATACAGCTGATTTCCGCTGCTGTGAAGTTATTTCATGGATTCCCCAAAGCCCCGGTGGTGACTCACTTCTTGAACCAGTTCGTAGAGATTGCCCTTAGAGCGGAACTCCTGTCCTGTTCAGATTCTAACTGATAACTCCAACATCCACCGAAGCCGTCTTTTCCTCCAACTGTAACTGCAAACCGATTGTGCTAAATGAAACTGACGTTCTCAGTTATTTTCCCAGCTGAAACTTGCTTCCTCTGAGGTTATATTTTAGTTTATATTTAACAAAGAAAACAAAACACATGGGTTACTGGAGTCTGGCCAAAAAACATGAATGCTGGAAATGGTTGTGGTTGAAAATAGTAGAAGTGAGAAGTGGTTGCATCTGCTGAACTTGTGATTTCTGGATTCTTTTCCGGTGTGATGCACAGTGTGGTGAGGCAATGAAGAGGAGAGAGAAATCTCACCTGCTTCCCATTTGTCCCCCGCAAAAGCTACAGCGATCAGCAGTGTTATCTGCTGTTTGAGAAACAAAGATCTTGCAAAGCTGCAAGCTTAAGTAACAAGCCCAACACACAGAGAAGTTATCACTCTTTAAAATGGTTCCTCGCTTTGCCTGAAGGGGTAGTTGGTGTTCTGCAGTACAATTTACTGATTAAAGGGGAGAATTGAATCCAGCTTATTGGCCCAAAATCAGAATTCCAGCAGAAACTCAAACACTGCTTGAATGCAGACCTCTCACCATGCATGCTTCTCTGAAATCTTCATCCGATCTCCAAAACATGATTAGGATATCCTGAATCCTGAACTGTTATTTCACGTTTTAAAAACTGCAGCAATGTGGTTCAATGAGTAGCACCTTTGCTGCCAACCGTGAGTTTTGGCGACTCAGTCTTTCCCCTGCTTTCCCCACATGGTGTGCTGGCTTCCCTGGGTACCTCGGTTGCCCCTCAGAGTCTCTAAATTGCCCATGAACACTGTAGATGCAGACCTGTCACACATTCTAAAGCAGCCATGGATTCTTTTCCCCATTCTTGCTTACAGAACCGGTTCAGCGATTCCAGATTCACATCTTGCATGAATCGCTTGTCTCGGGTCATTTCTGTTGGGTTGATTATCCAGATGGGCTTTTGTAAACTTAAGATGAAACCGTGGTCTTTTTTCCCTGTCACCAAGAAGGCATTTCCTCCTAGTCACCCTGATGTGAATGTCTTTGGTATTCACAGAGTCACAGGAGAACAAGCAGCTGCAGGTGATCATCAGGTATATCTGGGTGCCTGCAGCTCTGTCGATATATAGCCCACTTACCATCATTTGTTTTTCAGTAAGAAAATGACCCACCTCCAGGCCCCGTGCAGGAGAGGGATGAAGCAGGTTACCATGTCTCTACAGTCACCTCACCTAAGCTGAACAGAGGTGTTTGAGATGAGTTGGACTGGAGCGTGAAGGAAAAGCACCCTGGGAGTGCTGGGAATATGGAAGAACTCCTTCAGTGCTGCTGAAAAAAGATCTCAATTCCCAACCTCATGGAGGTGTTTTAGAGAATGTCAAGATGGTGCAGGGTCTTCAACAAGACAAAGGGTGGCTACATTAAAGATTCTAACATATGACATATATTTGATTGACTACCCTTTAAAATGATTGCATAGTTCCATTCATGTTGTTTTGATGTCACTTTTATTTAGCATTGTAGGAGTTAGTAAAGATAAAGAAACCCCTTCTGTGAGTATCTGTGTGCAGCTCTTTGACTGGTACTGCAGTTCTGTGTCTCTTTTTGTTGTGCAGTGGGACCATCTTGAAGCACGAAGCTTGTGGGCAGAGACACCATGACTTTAAATCTGTCTTATAACACACTGAAGAATCTCAGATTTCGCAATGGGTTTGTAACCATATCCAGGCCGCTGAGTATTTGTCACATGCTTGCTGAAGTCTTCTGACATTTTGCTAGATAACCATGGTACATCATGCTAAAATGTAAGGGAAAACCACACTGAACTCAGCTTAGCTTTATATAGCAGAGGGCCCCCCAGTTTCCTTCTTGGCTCTTTAATTAGTTACACAGCTCATCATGCTTAAAAAACCATGTGCACCACGTATTTTTGCACATACAGTACAGACGCTCCTCTACTTACGAACTTACCTACTTACGAATTTTCAGTCCAAATTTTCTGTCCGCAACATCAATTTTTTTTTTTCTGCGCGCCAGTTCCGCCTAGTATGACTTCTGGACGCTATACTCCCGCCGCACAGCGGCATAGTGTGCGTACTCCCAGCACCCTAGTTCTTTGTACTTGCGTATACCCTTAAAATATACGGACATTTCAAGTTACGAACTGCCATTTGGAACGTGACTCATTCGTAAGTAGAGGAGCGTCTGTATTGTGCAAAAGTCTAGGCAGCCAAAACAAACGTTTAAAGCTGTTTGTCTGGGTAGTAAGTGTACTTTTGCTCAGAACAAATAACACAATTTAACATTAGAACATTTGCAAAGTAAGAGTAACACAATAAAAACTAGTAAGAATTTCTTCTGTCCTCTAAAAAGTCACTGATGCCTAGTTGGATGGCTAGATGAACACCGCTTCAGTTCCCAAACCTCTCCTCAGGGGCACCTCAGCCGTTCCAGGTCTTTATTAAAATTCACCGCCAGCTCACTTAAGTAATTTAATTAGTTCAAAAAATCAATGAGATACTAATTAGCTATACAAGGTGCGCTAGTGGTCGAGTCAGAATGTACATAGGAGTGTTGGATAGGGGCTGCAAATACTGGGGTGATTTTAGCAGTTCTGAAATGGCTAAGTTAACATACTTTGACAGAAATAATAGCATAGTTTTACACCAGCATAAAGATCATTTAAACTTATTTTTCTTTGGCTGCCTAAGACTTTTGCACAGTATTGCACCTGTAATTTATTTTTTGCACATACTTTCTTTTGATGACAGTGGGGCTCTGGTGCGACCAGCAGAGCCTCCCATCTGGGTTCCGTTCCTGCCCCTGGATCTGTGTGTACTCCCTCTGATTGTGCTGGTTTCCTCTCATAAGTGTGATTAAAGTTAATTAATAGGTGTTTCTAATTTGACCCCAGTGTGTGCCCTGCTATACACTTGCATCCCTTCCAGGGCCTCCCACCTTGTGCCCTGTGAATTCTGGGATGGCTCCACACTCACCACAACCATGTACTAGATAATCAGTTATCAAAGATAAAACAAAATATTTCCGATTATCCAGGAGGACTGATATATACAATAAAGAGCTTGTTAGAATTTTCAGGTTTGCGGTTCACAAACTTTCGAGCAGTTCTGTTCATATACCTTATGAATAACCCACTACCTACTTTTCGCGGTTCCTCTAGGGGGCATCTTTTTGCTGGCTAATTAGGATGAACATCGGTATCTGTCTCATTAAGGTGACTTTGATCTCTGCAGGCCTCACCAATGTGCCTTTAATCATGCTCACTTCAAGGCCATCCTGGATCAGGAAGTGTGCATAGGGCTGGAGAAACATTTTCCGGGAAAAAAAAAATGTTTCAGGATGATTCTGGGTTTCTGGGTTTACAGTTTCATTGCGTTTAGTCACTGGTGTAACTGGGGCTCTTTGGTTATTTTATCTCATGTACAATGTTTAACATTTTTTACATATACTGTACACTATATGGACAAAAGTATTGGGAGACCTGGCCATTACACCTACAGGAACTTTTATGACATCACATCCTAAATCCATATCCAGAAATATGGAGTTGGTCCATATATAGCAGTATAGTTACTGCTATAACAGCTTTTCACAAGATTTTGGAATGTGTCTGTGGGAATTTTTGCCCATTCATCCAGAAGAGCTTTTGTGGGGTCAGGCACTGATGTTGGATGTGAAGGTCTGGCTCACAATCTCCATTCTAGTTCATCCCAAAGGTGTTTGATAGGGTTGAGGTCAGGGCTCTGTGGGCCAGTCAAGTCCTTCCACACTAAACTCACCCAACCATGTCTTTATGGTCCTTGCTCTGTGCACTTGTGGGCGGAGTGGTGGCCCTGAGGTTGGGATCTGTGCCAGCAATCAGAAGGTTGCTGCTTCAAATCCCAAGAATGCCTGGGGTGATTCTTCTCTGTTGAGCCCTTGAGCAAATCCCTTAACCTGCAATTACTGTGTCTTGGGTATGACGTTAATCTACATACAGTACAGCCTTGTAAGCAGGTCCTCCAACTTACAGGGAAAATTTGGGGGTTGGTGGCAGGATTGGCACTGCAGCCACTGGGAAAAAACTCACACTGTTCCATTGGACTAATGTAGTGCTGGGGAATCACCTGCTGTACAGCTACGCACAGGTTCTCATCCCTGAGGCGTGGTGTTGTGTGTAATCATCAAGCTCTTTACCTGTCTCTGTGCACTGGGGCACAGTCATGCTGAAACAGAAAAAGTCCTTCCCCAAACCGTTCCCACAAAGTTGGAAGCATAGAATTGTCCAAAATGTCTTGATATCCATACTAACATCAGTGCCTGACCTCAAAAGAGCTCTATATATGTGTTTTTGGTAGGACAGTTACACATGCAGGTGAACTGGCTTTATGGTGCCTCTGTGTGTGTGTGTGTGTGTGCCCTGTGATGGA